ATAACCACTAACAATCTATTTCATTCCTTTGATAATCTATAAGCCATAAATTTTTTTAAAAAACTTATATTTTGTGCTTTGAATACATATACACTCATATGCAATTGTACAAATGCATAAATAGCATCCTGTGCCCAGCAGAAAGTATCTTTATGTGTTGTACAATCTTTTTTTCTGTGTCCACTCTTCCTTATTACTGAACAATACATTATGATCTTCCCTCCGATCAACTAATGTGATGCCAATTTATTATTACCATGTATACAAAATATTTTATGATGTGGCTGTGCTATTCACAGTTTGAAAGTGTGAATAACAATTATATAAATCTAGAGGCCCGATGCATGAAATTCATGCATGGGTGGGGACCATAGGCCTGGCTGGCAATCGAATCGCAAGCATCTGGCATGGAAGGCAGATCCCAGTCGACCTTTGGGCCCTGAGCAACACCTGGGTCCCAGGGCCCCTGCTCCACCAACCTACCATGGTCCCACTCTTATTGACTTGCATCGGGGCTGGCAGCACCTCCACTACCACCTGTTGCCAGCACTGTGTCAGCAACGCCCACCATGTTTCACGCCACCCCCTGGTGGTCAGCGCACATCATAGCAAGTGGTCGAACTCCTGGTCAAGGAGACAATTTGCCTATTAGGCTTTTATTATATAGGATTATACAAAAATATTATGGAGTTGTTACATTAAAATTCTGGTTCTCCACCAGAGGCAATATTGTTCCCCCAAAGGATATTGAGCAATATGCAGAGACATTTTTGTCAGTCATATGGAAGGTGCAGGTAGGTAGAGTCCAGGTATGCACAGGAGAGACCACACCACAGACAATGACCTGGCCCAGAATATCAATAGTGCAGAGATTGACTGAAATAATATATGTACTTTGTAATATTTATATCTGTCTTCAGCTTGGTTTCCCAATGTTTTAACACTTATAGTTCTGCCAGAAAAGAAAATAGAGTACCCCTTAGCTACTTGTTTGCAAGTTCCAACCCTGGTCAATGTGACACCTTTTTAAGTTTTTCCCCGGCTGAGAGATGTGGTAGACTTTTTTTGTTGTTTACTGAACTTTTTCTAACTTTTATCAAAGATTCATATATTTGATGCTCTTGTTAATTTGAATATTATTTGTATATGCCTATTTTTCTTTCATTTTTAGTCTTTTAAGTGATTTCTAATCATGATTATTGTGGGGGAGATGGAAGAGTGTAAAGGTGATAGAAGGAGATAAAAGGTGATAGAAGGAGACTTGACTTGGGATGCTAAACACACAATACAATATACATCTGATGTATGACGGAATTGTATACCTAAAACCTATATAATTTTGCTAACCAATATTACCCCAATAAATTCTATGAAATCCTATCTAATATTAGAGAAACATGGTAATTAGCCGTACCTCCGCTACCCTTCCCATTGGCTAATCAGGGAGATATGCAAATTAACTGCCAACCAAGATGGCGGCCGGCAGCCAAGCAGCTTGAAGCGAACAGGAGGCTTGCTTGCTTCAGTAACGGAGGACTCCAACGTTCCCCCCTTGCCTAGCCGACCTCTGAGCTTGCAGTTTAAGAAACATTGTAACAAATATAGAAGCTAAACAAAACCCCAGAAACCTGCTTTCAACCAGCTGGGATCTCAGAGCTGGAGTTGATACAGTGTTTCGATTATAGAACCCAAACAAACCAGATACCTGCTCCCCCCCCGGGGGGGCCTGGGGAAAGCCTAAAAACAGCCATCAGCCTCTCACCCAGGCTGGCCAGGCACCCCCGGGGGACTCCCACCCTGATCCAGGATACCCTTCAGGGCAAACCAGCTGGGACCCACCCATGCACCTACCCTATGTAGTAAAAGGATAATATGCCTCCCAGTACCAGGATCAGCGGTGCAGTGAGACCTCCCAGAACCAGGATCAGCGTGACAGGGGGCAGCGACCAACCCCGCTGATCGCCCTGTGTCTCTGTGTGTGACAGGGGCCAGGGCCACAACCTCCCTATCCGCCCTGCTCTGTTCTTGACAGGTGAAGGCACCCCAACCCCCAATCAGCCCTGCTCTATGCCTGATAGGGGGGAGTTTTGACAGGTGAAGGCGCCCCAACCCCCAATCAGCCCTGCTCTATGCCTGATAGGGGGGAGTTCCCCAACCCCCTGATTGGCCCTGTTCTGTGCATGACAGGGGGTGGTGCCCCAACACCCTGATCGGCCCTGCTGTGTGTGTGACAGGGTGCAGCGCACAACCGTCCTTCCCTCCCCACAGGCCCTGCTCTGTGTGTGACGGGCCAACAGTCCCTGCTCTGTGTGTGATGGGGTAGAGCTAAAACCTCCCCATCGGCCCTGCCCTATGTTTGACTGTGGTGGTGCCCAAATCCCCTGATCGGCCCTGGTCTGTGCGTGACAGCGGGGAGCTCCTCAACCCCTATCGACCCTGCCTTGAGGGGGACAGGGGGCGGTGCCTCCACCCCCCACTCAGCCCCACCCTGAGCCCGACCTGGGGCTGCACCTAGGGATTGGGCCTGCCCTCTGCCACCCAGGAGCAGGCCTAAGCCAGCAGGTCATTATCTCCAGAGGGGTCCCAGACTGGGAGAGGGCACAGGCCGAGCTGAGGGACCCCCTCTCCTCCCGAGTGCACCAATTTTTGTGCACCAGGCCTCTAGTTTAAAAATAATACTTAATAAATTTATTATTTCTCAATTGACTTTGGGGGATGTTTTGGCCATAAAAATCTTTCACGTTTGTTTAGTTAAATAAGTCTGTCTCATTACTACTAAGTCTCCTGATTTAATTATGATAGTTTGGCCCGCTCATACATATTAATGTGCAGTTTTCTATCATTTCACATGAAAATGATTGGTTACACTTAACAGTGAGCAGGCAATTCCTCTGATTTTTTGTAATGTGACTGAGGGAGGAGAACAACTGCATTTCCTTCCAGGTTGATATATTTCCAGATTTTATTAAACAATTTAATGTTTCCAAATAAATCAACAAATGACAAGTGCTGGTGAGGATGTGGAGAAAAGGGACCTCTAGTACACTGCTGGTGGGAATGCAGACTGGTGCAGCCATTATGGAAAAAAGTATGGAATTTATTCAAAAAATGAAATATGGAACTGTCATTTGACTCAGTGATCTCACTTCTAGAAATATATCCTAAGATACCAGAAACACCAATAAGAAAGAATGTATGCACGCCTTTGTTCATAGCAGTGCAATTTGTAATAGCTAAGGTCTGGAAAAAGTCCAAGTACCCATAGTCAATCAGTGAATAAAAAGCCGTGATACATTTGCACCATAGAATACTATGCAGCAGTGAAAAAGAAGGATCTCTTACCCTTTGATACAGCATTGGAGGGACTTGAAGAGTATTATGCTACGCAAAATAAGCCAGTCAGAGAAAGACAAGTATCACATGATCTCACTCATATGTGGAATCTAATGAACATAACAAACTGATGAACAAAATAGATCCAGAGATGTAGAAGCATGGAACAGACTGTCGAATCTCAGAGGGAAGGTAGGTGAGTGGGAAGAGATCAACTAAGGAACTTGTATGCATATATGCATAACCCATGGGCACAGACACTAGGTGCTAAAGGCCTGGGAAGATAAGGGGGGGGGCAGCGAAATGGGCTATAAGGTGTCATTCAGAGAAAAAAAAAAGGGGATATGTAATACTTTCAACAATAAAGATTTATAAAAAATAAAAAAATCCCATGATAATGTGATTTTTTCTCTTCAGTCATTCTTTAATCATTAAACATGAATAAAATCTTGTGCATAATAGAGAGAATTAATGGATGCAGCTGATAATGATCATTCACCATCCCCTTCATGCTTACAGAACCTTTAGAAGGGGAGAATCTGTATTATTTATAAAAAGAGTCACATTATAGACAGCTCTGACAGTTTTCAAACAGAAACATAGAGATCATTCAATAAAACAGAAAAACACCAACCAATTTTCCATTATATGTATAAACCCCCTTACAAATAGGCATCATTCTTCCATACTCCAATGATAGATGTACAGCATGAAGAATAAATATTTTCCTAGTAATACAGTGTGTGATTTAAAAATTTGGTTCATCATATTGAAATTCATCTGTGATTTTAAGGCAGTAATAAGTCAACCCATTTATTAAAATTTGTCTTTCAGTGAAGAGTCCCTCTTGGAGACATGGATTCGATAATCATTTTGCAAGTGGGGAAGGTAGGGATTGTGAACACTAAACAAAAAACCCAGAATCTTAAAAAGGAGAATAAAACCCAGTGATCTGCTATTAAACACACTTTTATGTTAGCGTCTACATTATCAGGAAGAGCAGTTAAAATAGTGATATACCAAAGAATGTCAGTCATCAGAGTGAAAAACACAAGTCTCAGATTTTCCTCTCCTTTCAAATTGTATAAAATGCCATGGTCATTAAGACTATATTTTTCCATAGGAGTCGTGTAATTCAGGATGATTATTTTAGTAAAAAAATATATTTGCTAACATATATGTCATTTGAGACATATCCATGTTGTCTCTAGGTAAATGAAAATTTCCAAATATATCTGGTCCATGAAGGAAATAAATTTGAGAAAGTAGAAAAACAACAAAGAGAATAGTTGTTGAATATCTGAGAGAGCAGACAACTTAATTGAGTTACATAAATTGAATAGAGAGGATGAGGTCAAAGAAATAGAAATTCCAGGAAATAAAAGGAAAGAGCAAGTTCTACTTCGGTAGTCTGACCATCATCACACTGTCTGACTCTGCAAACATGGGCACATCTGCAGTCTTAGGACAACTGACCAGTTTGTAGTTTTCTTCACAAAGAATGTTTTCAGAGCCTGTTTGATGTCTTTGTTCCTGAGACTGTAGATGAAGGGGTTCAGCATGGGTGTGACCACGGTGTACAACACCGAGGCTGTTCCAGCTGAGTGCGAGCTCTGGGCAGCAGCAGAGCTAAGGTACACTCCTAGGATCGTACCATAAAATAATATGATGACCATGTAGTGCAGGGGGTGGCAGATGGCCACAAACCGGTCATAGGCCATCACAGTCAAGAGTAAAACATCCAACCCAGCAAAAAGTATGAAAAAATATGTCTCGGTGAGGCAGCCTGCATAGGTGATGACTTTATTCTGTGTCTGGATGTTCACCAGCATCTTTGGGATGGTGGTGGTGGTGACAGAGATGTCTAGCAAGGACAGATTGAAGAGGAAGAAGTACATGGGCGTGTGGAGGCGGGAGTCTGAGCTGACGGCCAGGATGATGAGCAGGTTTCCCAGCAGAGTGATCAGGTACATGGAGAGAAAAACCCCAAATATGAGAGGTTGTAGTTCTGGTTTCTCTGAAAATCCCAGAAGAAAAAAATGTGAAATTTGTGTAAGATTCACTGGCTCCATGTGTTGGAGGTGACTACAAAGAAAGATTAAAATAACATGAATAAATTTCACACAGTTTTGCATTGCTCACCTACTTGAAATGCTACAATTCATATTTTATAGACCAGACGTTAATTTTAATATTGTGTTTATGGATATGGTCCCCTGTAGGGAATATCCAGTGCCACCCCTGATATGGAGTGTTTGTCCCAATCACTTGTGCCTCTGAGGGGATCATGTATTCTACAGTTTTATTGAGAATTTCTTCATGTTTCTCAGGAATGTAAATTGAGTGCTGACCATGTTTAGGCACTATCCAGGTTGTGAGAATAGGGTGCTGAAGAACAAGTTTCTATAATCTAATGAGGGTGAAAGAATGTAGAAGCAAATAATAAAACGATAAGTTACTTTAGGTGGTGGCAGTGGTTTGAACAAAAGGAAAGCACATCTAAAGGAGAGCATGAGTAGGGACTTCTGTTTTTCATGGGTGTGTAAGTAGATCAGCAAGCAAGGTGACTTTTGAACAGAGACCTCCAAAGTGAGCAGGAGAAAATCTGAGATGTCCTAAATTAAATAGCAGTTGGGCCAGAGAGTGAGAGAAATAGACAACAGTCATCAACTAGGCAAAAGCTGTGGCCCAGTTACAAAAGGCTGCTCACATTCCTGAATGTATGTTGGAATTTGAATCAACTTCTGTGGTGACCACTAGATGCCCCTGAATCCTGCACATGCATGAGCTTTCAGAACTGTTGCCTGTAACCAATTAAAAGTAGGAAATATTTCTTCCTTGGTACCTGTCCTAGAACTGCTGCACTTTACCTTCTCTTGACGCCCCCACCGCTATCAGTAGCCAATGAAAATTCTTTCAAAAAATCACCTTTTTCTTCCCCAAAACATAAAGTGTAAAGAGCCTTCAACTCCAGGTCAGTGGACATGACATTTCTACCTGCCTCTGCTGCTGGTGGTTTAGACTTCGTGCCCAATCACCTGGTCCTTTTCTGGCTGGAATTTGGCTCAATAAACCTTTGTTTTAAAGGAAGATTTTGGCCCTCAAAATTTTTTAACTCAAGGGAGGAAGAGATATATAAGAAGATGTGGGAAAGTGTGAGCCCTGCAGAAGGACTAGCCCGTGAAAAGGCCCTGAGGAAGGAGGTGCTTCTTTCAAAAGTTCAAGTCAGAAAAATGAAGCCAGTTTAGAAGATGAATGAACAGGAGGGAGCGTGATGAGAAGTGGTGGCTGACACATTGAGGAGTGAGGTGGCCTCTCTGCCACTGCTGACACCTCAGGCACAGGGACGTTCCCACCCCCACAGCCTCTTATGCTCTAGTATTCTTATTGCAAAGTTGTCCTGTGAAGGGAAACAGACCCCCTCCTTAGTACCTGCTCTTGATTGCGTTCGAGCCTCATATTGTAAGAACCACCCTGGAGTGTATGAGTGCAGCTATCCCTGGTCTGAGGACAGCTCACATCTACAAATCACACACACCACCACCACCACCACCACCACCATGCCTGTCTCCGCCCCAGCCATACTGATGATGCTAGGAATGGATAGAACACAAGCTGACCCAATCAGTGATCTTTCACTTGTCAGATGTAGAAATGTGTCTGGAAATTCCAATTCTTAAGCCCTCCATGGACAAGTGAATTTGAGGTTCCGTATTTGAGGGTCATTTTCTGCCCTGTATTTAAAACACATAAAGAAATCTGTTCAATGAATGGATAGGAGAGATTGGGGGAGGGGGATGGGCAGGAATAGAGATTTAATGAGCTCAGGTGATCCCCAAGATACTGTGAGGAAGAAAATCGTCTTGGCAGAGAAATGCAGTAAAAGCTTTGTTTTCTGTCCTTTTTCCATAGTCATTTGACCAATTTGTTTTTATGTGGCCCAATCGTGGGTGAGGTTAGCCCCCTTCTCCCTTTCCTTATGTGGCACCAATTCTATCTTATTTGGGGGCTTTGGGTTTTCATCTCTTTTTTGACACACCCGGGGTGCACCACTCTGTTTCTGGGTCAGGCCTTCATCCAGCCTGCAAACACCTCCCCAGACCAGGCTTCACAGATCCTGCCCACACCATGACAGTTCTACCTATTTATACGGAATAGCTTTCTTCATATGTTTCTTCCTGAGGACATTATTTTTAACACATTTATTTCATTGTTTTATGTCTTTGTTGTTTTATGGCATGACCCAAAAGAGCAGAAATTACACCTGCTTTGTTCACGTAAATTTTTCACAAAGGTAAGTGATTAGATGTGCACTTACATAGAAACAAAATAAAAAATGTGAAAAGTGATAAAATGAAAAAAATGATGAAGGGATAATGTTCCAGGTTAAACTGAGTAGCTTCAAAACAACAGTAGTAAGCAAAATGGAATGGAGGATTAAATACTAACTGAAACATGATATGAAATGGCAATAATTTAATAACATCACTATAGGCCAACAATTAAATTGTAAAGACTTAGAGCTAAAAGAGCAGAATGTTCTGAGAAGGTGCTGAGTTAACTGTTCTTCCCATTAATCTGGAATTAGGTCTCCATGTATATGAACATTTACCATATAGGAAGGTTACAATTCAATTTTGTTGAAAAAGATTGAATGAGAGCTGGCATAAATGGCTATCAATCTGCAATAATATGAAATTGATCCCCACCCTCAGACATCTGACAGCATCAGAGAATTCAAACTCGGAGTAAGAGTAACCAATACATTTGTTATGAACATTAGAAACTACATATAAAATTTACAGGTGGGCAAAACTATTTCAAATAAAAAAAAAACTCAGTAGTAAGTAAATAGATCTATTGAAATAAAATTTTAAAAATTTATGGTAAAAAATACCCTACAGAAGTCAATTGAGTATCAGTGATCTATAGAAACTATTTGAAATGCTATACAAAAATGGGAAAGTAACACATGGGCATAGATTAACAATAGGTAAATCAAAATGGTGATCTAAGAAATGAAGTTTGCTGAAACTGTATAATAGCTTGAAAAAACAAGAAGACACAACTTTTGCACACTTAGATGAGGAAAAACTGGAAGAGCAGTCATGTTGATTGAGGTTGGGACTTTCAAAGTGGTAGTAAAAGGGGGTCCTCTAATTTTATTGGTAGAAAATAAAGTGTTACAATTTTAGAGAACAACCTGACGTCAGCTATAAATATTACAAATAATGATGTTATTTAATTCAGAGTTTCCCACCTCAGCACTGTTGGCACTCTGGGACAGATCCTTCTCTATGGTGAAGCCTGTCCTGTGAATTAAAGGTTGTTTAGAGCACCCCTTCCTCTACCCACTCCTCCCTAGTGTGACATTCACAAATCACCTTGGACATACCTCAGTGTCTCCTAGGGGACAAAATCACCCCTCATCAGAAAAACATTTTGAAATTAATAATTTAAACATGTTATAGCATTGATATGACAGCAATTTAATGATGAAGAGTGTGAAAGACCATTAAAAGTGTGGGTAGCCGTTATCCTATTAACTCTTTTGTAGCCATTGAAATGAATCTAATGATCAAGCAAGCAAACAGACACAGCAATATCTTGCCTCTGGACTAAGTAGAATGGACTCTTAGATGACAACAGGTAAATGTTCCTGGCTTCCATTCCCTATGACCCTCTCCTGCAGTGTCATGTGGGTTATTGGACTCATCTCGATTAAATCTCTGAGAGGAAGATCATTGTGGGGATGTCTGAACTCCTCCCCAAATGGTTGATGATAGAGATTAAAGTTCTGTTTACAGGCAAAACAGCAGGAAGGTGTGAAGCATCAGTGTCCAGCCAGAATTAGGCCTCCAAACAAAGAACAATGACAAATAAACATAACCATGCTTATAGCCTAAGTTTACACAAGCTGAGAGACTGGAGCAGAGGAGTTATTTATAAATCCCTGTACCTCTAAGCACACAATTCCTCTGGGAAACAATGTTCTGGACAGAAAGAAAATTTTTCCCAGATTCACTGTTTCCAACAGACCAGGTTACAAGTCAGGTGAATTCAGTTTTTTTTTTCCCACCTTTATTCCTTCTCCGTGAACTCTCCCCTCATCCAGATCTCTAAGTCTCCTAGCATCCCATCTCTACTCTGAGTGTGTCATCCAAATCTGAGGTTGAGGAACCTGTCTGCATTAGGTCTCTTTGTCTTCAGCACTGACTTGTGTTGGGGACACAGTCCTGATATCTCTGGAAAATTCCTGTTCTCATTTTCAACAAGGGGAGAGCTGACTCTTTAGACAATAAACCTTGGGCTCTACACTTATTGGCTTTCTGACATTTTTTGCTATAACAATAAAGAATTTTGTACTTCCATCACAAGTCAAGACTGTCCTTTGGTCCCTCATTATAAAAATGATTGTTAATTCTAAAAAAATTATTCAGATATTTTTATGCACTGTAAACAGAGGCTAACACCCTCTAAGGATTGTCTGACTTAATTTTTATAGGCAACTTACCCATGAGAAAGCACATTTATGAGCTCCATTCTCCATTGCTGCAATGGGACTTGGAGAAGTTCAGTGATCTGCCCAAAGTTAATATCCAAGTAAGTGATGGGCCTTCATTTTAATTATGTCAGATGCTTCTAGGGCAGTCTCCATCAACCAGAAATGAGTTCTCCCTGGGCTGTTAGGCAATATCTGAATGGAGGACAATAAATACCTGTGATCCACAGGAAAGCACCCATATATGGAATTATTATTCTGTCCCCAATTTTAGCACTGACAGGGTGAGAACACCTGTTCTAGGCCAGCACCTCTCCACTTCATAGCGCATACAAGTCACCAAAGTTCATAGTGCAAATGCAGATTCTGAATTGTCTTAACTGAATCCAGGGACTGTATTTCTGACAAGCTCCCAGTTGGTGTTGAGGCTGCAGGTCCTTCTGGCCTGTGGACCACAGTGTGAGTAGGTAGGCTGTGGCTCTGTGTCAGTTTCAGGTGGAAATGGTTCTATGTTGTTTGAAACAAAAATCATCTTTGCATATAACTTGGAAGGAATAGTGTATTCACTTA